TCCTACATTTTTGAGTAAAACTGATTACTTTGAAAACATGAAATTCAGACATAGTTCGATTAGGATTTTGGAACCTGATAAGAAGATGCTGGCTTTACACTGTCTTTGCTTTGGCCACAGTGGGACTCAGGTCCGTTTGTGGAGTGAGGAAGGACCAGAAGCGCAGGTGGTTGGTCTGGATGACAACGGCTTTCTGCAAGTGTACAGTAAAGAGGAAGGAATGGTCTCTGTGGAGCCTGATGGAAACTCATTTGACATGCTGAAGAACCTCGTGGTCATGAAGCGGCCAGGATAAGCTACTTTTATTCCTGATAACTTTCTACTCACTGAAGCAACACTATCATTCAGTGTGAAAAAGGTTTGGTCAAGTAATATTTGGAAGCCAACAGGTTTATGTAGACATCTGACAAAATCCATATATGCTCCAGTTATATAATGAATTTGCTAAACCTTATTACATTTGCGTTCTGTTTGGAAGGACTACTTTGTAAACTGCTGTTTTTAAAGTGACCAAAAATAGTTGGACCATAACCTGAATTGTTTTTATGGATAGCTGTGGTGGTTTATTTATTTAGTATTTCATCAGCTGAAACCTGAAGAAAGAAATTGGCTTTAACTGACACTGAGCAAAGCATTTCAAAAAGTTGGATTTTGAGCAACCTAAAAATGCTGGAAGTGTTTGAGAACCTCAAATACTTCCAGGTCTTGGTGAGGAAGGATGGGTTGTCAAATTGAATGTAATTTTGTGAGAAGTAAAAATTCTGTCCCCAACATTATTACACTTTTGGTGCAATGTAGCATCTGGGAGGTGCAATAAAAACAATCTCTGTCTCTGATCCAATCATATATCTCCTGAAATGAAACAGAATGAATGGTTGCTAAAAATACTGTTATTTTACACAAAAACTGTTGCTACTCCTTAAAGTATGCTGACTTACATTTTCAAGAACAAGCAGCTTTATACATCACTCTCCACAATTAGAGGCACCACTGGTAAAGTTTTGAAAGAAAGGTTCAAATGAAATGTTATTTACGGTGCCTTGTTGATCATTGTTCTGAACTCTATTATTACTCTTACTGTAGAAAAGAACTTCAGCTAAGTTGCTCCTCTCTTACAGTCACTCCCTGCACTATGATTATCAGCACACACGTTTTCCATTTCCATTTTTTTTTAACAAAAGTTAGTACTTCCTCATCATGGGAACATGAAGTAATGGATTACTTATTAAAACATTTTAGATATTTGGATCAACTTACAAAAAGTAAAGAATAGCTTCAAAAATAGTTTTTAAAGATTTATATCTTTAAAACTATGCCACTGATTGTGGGGATTTTGTTAAAATTATTTCTAAATACTTTTCCCTTTGAACAAAATAAACACAATTAAATGACATGTTTACCTGGGGTCCCATTCATTTGTTGGAACTGTGTATTGTCTGGGTCAATGTTGTGTTTCAAATTTTTCATTTTACCAGGTGAAACCAACAAATGTAGCCAGTCTGTTATTTTGCAGTAAATTCTGGAAGAAGAATCCTCCTTCTCTAAAATGGGTTGATTCTCATCTGTTACTGTTGCACAGAAATAATAAATAATGTAGCATGTGCTGTGATGACCAAAAAAGCTAAATAAAGGTTTTTTAGATAATTGTATGTCCTACATTTTCTTTTCAGAGAACTTGTAGACACATACCTGATCACAGCAGTTTTCACAGCTCTCAATAGAAAACAGCTTCAGATATTTAATCCCAGAGGTTTTAGTCATTTGGGAAAACAGGAGATCCATTTTTGACCACTGACCCCTGATGGTGTACTTAAAACCCAGTCTTAAAATCCTTTTATCACTCACCCAATTAGACTTATGGATGTTGTGGCAGCAGTTTTTTAACAGAATTTACTGTCATCTTCTCCTTGCCTACACGAAAAAGAAGAGCTTAGCAAACGGGAATATTATTAGAGCAATAGTAAAACATGGTACTTTATTTTGTTTTTACAGTTGTGGGTTTAGTTGTCCTTTAAAGACACTGAAGAATTGCACTGACATGGTGGCAGAATCAACATGAAACCTTCATATTGTCTATGTTCTTCATAGTTTCTAGGTCTTTAATAGTGTTTGACTATTGTAGAAAATAACCTTAATAAAACATCTACTCTACATATTTTTAAGTCTATTTAAAAGCTTTTATTTTGAACACTGAACATCAAAAGGAAAACAAACCTTTAAAGACTTAGGTAAATATTTATTATACACCAGCCAGAGAATATCATAATCAAACAATGTACTTCAATCGTGTAATATTTTGACATACAAGCATGAACATTGTATTGTAAGTTGCCTTGCAAAGTAACACTTACTTCAAAATAGGTGAAGATTTTTTTTAACTTAATTAGGTTTTTGGACACCGGGTAACCTGTTTGCAACGTGTAAACTGTGAGGTTTCAAATAATTCATAATGAGTTTTTTTCTTTTAAATGTCAAAAAACTGACTCAAAGATGGGGATATAGCATCGGGATCAACAGGGACTCAACTCTTCCTTTTTCCAACCACTAAAATCCTGCAATATGTCAGGCCAGATATCTGATAACAATCTTAGCTTTTATGGTTTCATATTCATATTTTTGCTCCTTTTAACTCAATGCCATGTAATTGTTTTTAGATTCTGTACTTTGCTTGTATTCTGTGAATTTTCATCTTGCCTTTTACTTATAAAAGTAAAAGGCAGGTATAGGATTGTATAGGACTATAGAGTAGTAATCTGATGTACCAACATGCTAAACACTAAAATATTCTCACTACCCATTTACACCAGCATGCCCTGAACTAAAACAAAGATCTTTTATTTAAGAGCTATTTATTCTTGATCAACACATGGACAGATATTTACAGACCCTTCATTTTATTTGCCTTGAAACCCAAGAAATTAAATAAATGTAAAAATGCATTCCACAGTTTATATACACTGTTCTGAAGAAATACAAAATGACCCTCCACCCTGGTGGATCACTTCTGATAATGGCAGATGAACCGATGAACACATTTTCTTTCCATTGCTATCTGTAGAGCACTTCCTTTTGTACAGAGCCAGGGCCGTGCAGAGACCTTTGGAGGGGCAGGGGCTCAAAGTTAAAAAAGGGCACATTGAGTAAGATCTTAAAACACTTTACAACAACATAGCAACTACACATATTAATCAAGAATTTAATTGGATCCTACTATATCGTTGCCATCATGTGGGGACAATGCAAAGCAAATGTATATTTTCCCCAAAGTATGAAGTTGCTGTTCTGGAGGACTGAGTTTAACTGAGACTGTAGGTGTTAAACAGACCAGAGGAGAGAAGGTCAAAGGTTATGAAGTTATGAAATAAGCAAATTTGCAGCCATTTTACTAATTAAGCCCTAATAATATCTACTTAAACTCTAGAACAACTTAGCTGCAGACTGATTTGTAGATCAAAAAAAAAACAAGAAGGGGTTAACTCTATAAAATTGTTTGATGTTAGCATCTCTGAGATTTACAATTGAAAGCCTGGGATATCAAAGTAAAGAAAACTCAGTAGCTGCTGGTAGGCCCTCTAGAGATTCAGGGGCCCCTAGAAATGGTTTAATTGTAAGACAGATCATAGATCTAAATCTGTTGCATTAATTTATAGAGAATGTCATAAAATTGTATTTAATGCATTCAGCTGAGGAAAAAAAAATACATTTAGGATTTAATTAGGAAGTTTACTTTGTAAAAGTTTAAAGAATCATCTTGATTGTTGTGTTACCATGGCTACAATATGGTGTAATCTTTGTGTTTGAGTTGGGTTTGTTCACAAATACATCACAGCAAGTACCCAATAATCAGTGATTCATTTAAAGTTGGCCAATAAACCTAGTCGCCCTTTCACAGATTCACCTTATCAATATTCATATTTTCTCTTATGTTTATTTTATTAACTAAATGCTCTGGGCCGAGTCTTCCTTTAACACTTGAGGTTCTATTTACAGCCATTCATCTCCACCCCAAATCCCTTCAGCAGCTGCTTTAGTAACATTAAGGAGAAGCAGAATGAACAGTCAGCAGATGGCACCGGGGTTTGAGCTACGTCGCAACTCGCGGTGACAGTCGCAGCACCGTGTCTTATATCAGGATGTGACCTCTTAATGATCTGATATAAAGACAGACATTCTTTCTATCTGTCGGTGAGACCAACTCAGTCTGCCTGTAGAACCAGGCCTTTACCAGAATGATTAAGTTAAAGTCAGAAGTTTCTCTGCAATCGAAGCATTTATATGTGTAGGGTCAAGGAGGGTTTTTTCCACTATTGTGAGGACAATTATTAAAATATAAATAGAAACAGTTTTTGTAACGTCAACATCAGGCCTACGTTTTTATTTACAAACCAGTGTATGAAAAAAATATCCTTGCCCATAATTTGGGATATTGGACATTCAGATTGTATTTAGAGATTGTATTTAGAGGCACAGATCAGCCCCCTCCCCCCCATTATTAGACAGAGGGCAGCAAGACTAGTTTATTTCGCTAAATTATCATATTTAGCTAAATATTATTGCTAAAGGGCAAAAGCAGGCCTCCTGACACACATATTTTAAAAAATAATAAAAAATTTAAAACATTAAAAAAAAAAAAAAAAACGAATTGAAAAGGGGTACTATGAGCATCAAGGATAAAAGGAACAGGGACTCAAGCACCCTTCGCACACCCCTCTGCACGTGCCTGTACCGAACAGCTTTTCTCCAGCACCATGGAAACTAGCAGAGTATAAATGCTGGAATAAGATGCTTATTTGATACCCAACTTAACGCTGAGATACGGGCAGCTTTGGGTCAGACCATCTGAAAGTCCACAACACTATTTGACTCTGAGCCTTAAATTTCGTGTTTTCTCGATAAATGGAGTCAGTGACATAGACCAGACCCCCTCGGTCTAGTGTAGAGGAGTCTGCAATGACTCTTCAACTTGTCTTTCAGACAGCTGAGAGCAGGCTGATTGCCTACTACTGAGGTAATCTTCTAACCTGCTGACGACCCAGGTTCTGAAAAAAATAAAAATAAATAGAAAGTTTAAAAAATGCAGTGAGTTAGTAAAGAACAATGTGTTAAGAACAATACGTGTATAGCATGTAAGTACATCTTTAGGATCATTAAACATTAAGAGGCGATTATCTAAAAATGACAGAAGACAACACAGACATTAGCTCCAGTCATATTTCTATAGATAATAATAATAATAATGTATTATTAATAATAATAATGATAAATTTAATAATAATAGTAATACATTTTGCAAAAATTTTATTAGTATTATTTAGGAAGAATTAGTTGGAAAAGATTCCCAGTAATGTCTCTCAAACTTCCTCAAATAACTTAACTCTTTATAAATAGACTGAATTGAATTTTGGACACCAATACACTGAATTGAAGAAAGGTCAGTTTCTGTTTTGCATTATATTAAATTGTTTCTTTCTTGTTTTGTCTTGTGATAATACCAAAAAATAGATATATCACAAGGTGGATCTGGATTTTAAGGAATGTAGAGAAAATTATTAGTACTTCTAAAGGACTCTTTAAATCTGTGAACATTACCTATGCTCTGCAGGGTTAGGGTTATTGTTGGAGGCTTCAGAGTTCTCAGTATTATGCTCACTTGGCCTTTAAAGCCCAAAGAGCCAATGAGTGGATAAGGCAGTTGAGAAGAGGGAACTGAATGAGGAAGTTGGCAATAGGAATTCACATGTAGGTGTTTGTAGGGATATTGGACATTCAGATTGTATTTAGGGCTGCAGGAAACCTGATCTGCTTCATTTGTCAAAGCAGATATTTTCTTTCTGTCGACTGTATCAATTAGATTCTTGGTTCTCTCCTTCCAGTGCTTCTTCCATAGGGAGAAACTGGAGATAGCTGACTGGAGAAGCCTAGTGACCTCCTGCTCGACATCAACAAACCCATGTTAGCAAATTATTTAGTTGGGTTTCATAATTTCATCTTCATCTATGTTGCTCTGATAGCAACATAGCATTTATGTTGTTCTTCAACAACATAAATGTTACTGTTTCTTGAAAAACTGATTTTTCTCTATTTGCTCAAACAAATATAAATGTAAGACCTTGCCTTTCTAATTTACTCCAGTTTTATTTCCCTAAGCTTGTCTCATAATAAAAAAATTACAACCTTCTTTAACACTAGAAGCACTATTTTAAATTAGTCACAATTTTATTAGGATTTAGTCACAAAATGAAGAAAAATGTAAGAGGTTCATATGGTCACTTAAGTTGGCAATAAAATAAAATAAAAAACAGGCAGACACAAAAATGAGCCAAAAAAAATCTGAAAAGCCACCTGGGTGTATGGAGCTGATCTGAGTTTGGCCCTCTGCTTGAGGTCTTTAGTTCTCAGCTGTTTGTGGTTGTCTTGACTCAAGACAAACTGTGAAGTAAGCTTGGCAACTTGGATCTGGTCTTCAGACAACTGCAGTTCCTTGCACTCAGTGTGTCTGTGGGAGAAAAAAAATGCAGACGGTCAGGCGTATCATTTATTCTTCACGGAGAATAGCTGATAAGCCACTGAGACACAAACTCACGTGAGAACGTAGTTCACACTGACCACACAGTGAGGTCTGGAAGAGCGGCTGTTGTGGACAATGGTTGCGTAGCTTTGCACCCACACCCAGCCTCCATATTTTACTAACATGCGGTAATACTTTGTTGTCACTTGTCCTTTAATAAGTACTAAAAGAACACAAAGTCCAGAACCAGACAAAATTAGTAAAACCTTTCCGCGCCTGGTGAACCTCCCATGTTTTACTTCTGTTAACTAGCTCTAACTAAGACAGCATTTTGGTGCAACTGGGAACCAAGTAACTAAGTAAGTTTAGCTACTTGGATCAGGTTTTCAGATAACTATCAATGGTAAACTAGCGGAAACTGACTGTTACTATGTCACTATAAATCTAGAAGTCAGTTTCAAAAATGATGAGCATGAGAGGCTGGGTTTGAACTTTAACATTCAAAAATACCAATCACTTGTACAATATGCAACGTAAAGGATTTTAAAATGAGAGCCAACCACAAAATAAAAGTTTGACGGTCCAACTTGTATTGGTACCAGGTTGTCTTAAAGACTGTGAAACATAGGCATTCTGTGGAGTAAAGGAAGATATTATTGCAGTAGAATCACACTTGTCCAGAGTTCCAATATCTGTCTTTTCATATTTCTTAGGTTATTCCTTAATTGCAAATCCACTGAAAATATTCCAAGAGATTTAGAAAACTCACATAAATGGTGTGCATAGCGTAGGTGTAGAATGTCACATGTGTGAACATGGTGGTAGAGGGTTTTCTCAATCAGATCTTGAGGCTCAAAGCCTGTCAGCTCAGCAACGCTGGCTCCAGCACAGCAAAGGACACAAGTTAGACACTTATCTCGAAAGCAAAGGGTTGGAGTAAAGTGGTTAGCAACAGAATAGTTCAAAGCCAATATTTGAAAACAGAAAATACATTTATAATAACATATTTTTACATGACCGATTGAGATTTTTTAGGAAGCAGTAAATGTGTGTCCTACCTCATGTCCAAAAAGATGAGTTTTAAATCCAGGTTTGCCCGAAACATAAACATGTTGCTGTGAAGTTTGACCTCAGTGATCCCACTGGGGGGCAGGGAATGACCAACTCCCACCAAACCCACAATCTGATAACAGTATTCATACAACGTCATCTCAGTCCTGTGTAGACTGAGTTTTAGGTAGCCACTGCAATGGATCACCTAGAAAACAGCATGATAGCTCTACTTTATACACACAAGGACAAAGTTGTTGGAAAGTTTCTTAATGACTGAAAAGCCCACAATGGTCTTCAACCTCTTGGAAGGCCATTGTGGTCTTCCAGACCTGTGACTGGAACCAAGCTTTCTGACATTAACAGTACATTTCTCTCTAGGATGCCTTGATAGTCTTGCAATTTCATCATACTCTGCACAGATTTGAGGCATCCTGTACCGGGTGCAGTAAAGCAGGCCTGAACAAAACTAAGCGTCCTCCATTTTTCACATTGGGATTGTGTTCTTTTCTTGATAACTCCTGGTGACATTGTGCTGATGTGCCTCGTCAGAACGCTCTAGTTTTGTCTCATGACTTTATGTCAATAGTGAATAAAAAATAAATGCAGAAATGTAGATTTAATTAAAAGAATATTTAATGCCTTTTGATTGTTATCCATTCTGGGATTAACATTTATCATAAAAGTCTTTGTTATATGTAGTTAAGTCCGTCATGACTGGAAGTAAACTTGATGCTCTCAGGTCTGTCTGATAATTTTATGGTTGCCGATGGACAGAATATAAATAAATATAGTGAAAAGATGGGTATCTGGTTGGAGAACTTCAGGATATTTGCTTTTTTGGAAATGAAGAAGCTGGAGTGAGTACACAGTACCTCCAGATTGCGGGTAAGTATCAGATTCAGGCAGAAGAGTCTTAACTTCTTCAGGGGTGTGGTATAGCTGATGGGTATTTTCCCAATCATTCCCAGCAAAATTTGTCTCCATTTGCAGATCCTGCATGGTTTCTTCCATTTTTATTTTTATTTTTTTGGCTGGTATAAGCCACACATGCACAGAAGCGATTTGACAGGTAGAATCTGCGACAAAACCATAGTAGTAGCAAATCCATAATTCCATGCTCAAATCTTAAGAGCCAAACCTTTTTATCAATTATGGTGGAAGAGTGATGCAAGTTGCCCCGTTGATGCTATATGCAAAGCACTATGCCAGAGATTTCAGAGAAACTGGACATCTAAAGTACAGGCAAAATGGCGTCACCGTAGTGACAACCAACACACTCACCAATATTAATGTTGACATAGCAAGGAAGTTGAGATGTTTGTATTTTATGGTATCAAATTTATGCCAAAAGTCTACCACGAGTCCACAGTGCATTGGAGGCACCAATTTGAATTCACTACAAACATGTACACAATCCACATTCACATTGATGCTTGGCATCTTCTGGGACAGTTGTGGGAGCCGCAGGCATCCTATTGCACTCTGTCACCATTGTGGTCAGACATACGGTGCTAGAGTATTTGTCAATTTATCAAAATGTATTCATTCAAATAATTTATGCTCTGTGTAGTAGCGATTGTTTGTTAAACCAAACATCCAAAAAAAAGTTCCATCAGCCACTATGAGGCACTGGGGTCAAGATTCTTGACACAAGCGAAAGAAGTTTAACGTCCAAACTTGTTGATTGTCTTGGTTGATTTTATTTTCCATTTATGCAAGCAATTACAATTATCAAACTTTTCTTTGTTTCTTTGTTCTTCTGACCTCTCTTGCACTGGTAAAAACCATAGGCCCCAAACCCAAATGCCTGCTGGTCCTTTACCAGCCCCCTACATTTATAGAATGTGGACTGACCCACCTTGCTTCCTGTCTGGCTTACAAATAATAAAAAAAAAATAGGAAAAAATAAGAAAATGAAACAAAAAATAAAATCAATTATCAACCTGCAAATAAACTCTGTAAATAATGCAAAAAATTGAAGTTTAAGAATAAACTAACAAAATTCAAATGGATAAAGAAATAAAGAATAAATAGCTCCAACACTCCGGCCCCTAATTGCGAATACTGTCCAATTACTTTAACAAGGAAAAGGAGCTATTCCATAAAACATGTCATTACTTCCTCAGGGTGATGCTTCCAGTAGCAAAAGAAGTTTGGTCACAGGTCTTTCCAAAACACTGGTCTTTGTTTGCAATTGCACAGAACGCACCAAGCCTTTTGCATCCTGGTTTACACTTAAGACTTTGGCCATCATCCAGGATCCTCTTGGAGCTGTAGAGTCTGCGATTAAAACAACATCTCCAGGAATAAGACATCTTTTAGTTTTTGTCCATTTTTGTCTTTCCTACATCAGAGGTAAGTACTCAGAAAGCCATCTTTTCCAGAACAACTCTGCCATGTATTGCACTTGTTTCCACCTTTTTCTGACATAAAGATCCTTTTCACTGAACAATCCTGGTGGCAAAACTGGTTTGTTTTTCAACAACAAATGGTTGGGTGTGAGTGCCTCAAGATCATTTGAGTCATCTGAAACTTTGTCTGAAACTGTCATTTAATATGGCTTCAACTTCACAAAAGATTGTTTGAAGTCCTTCATCATCTACAACTTGTTCTTTGAGAGCTGAGACTAAAATACTTCTAATGGAATGAATCAGACGCTCCCAAACTCCCCCTTGGTGAGAGGCTGCAGAGATGTTAAAGTTCCATCCTACACAAAAAAGCATTTTGAATTTTAGCATGATTCAGTTCATCCAAACTCTCTTTCAGCTCTCAATTTGCACCAACAAAATTTGTGTCATTGTCGGATCTAATTGTGGAAACGGGGCCTCTTCTACAGATGAACCTGCGGACTGCATTTATACAGGAATCGGTATCGAGAGTGTAGGATATTTCCAGATGTACTGCACGGCTGATGAAACAAGTGAACAGAGCTCCATACCTTTTCAGGAGACTTCGTCCTCTTTTAACACTTACAGGACCAAAGTAATCCACTCCAACATTTGTGAAAGGAGCGGTGGCTGGCAGAACTCTTTCTCCTGGCAGATCTGCCATTTTTTGATCAACAAACAACACAATGAGAGATGATTTTTCTGGCAGCTGAATTACCATTTATTATCCAGTATTTTTGTCTTAATCTGAACAGCATATGAGCTCTTCCTGCATGTCCCAACTGTTAATGAATATGGTGTAAAATCAGGGTGGACACATACATAGCCTTTGTCAAAATTACAGGATGCTTTGCTTCGACAGGCATGGCTGTTTTATTCAATCTGCCAACCACTCTGAGAACTCCAGCATCCAATACTGGGTCAAGTTTGCATAGAGAACTTCTCCTGGAGACTGTTTTAAGGCCACTGGTGATGAAAGCCATTTCAGTAGTAAATTTCTGTTGTTGTGCAAACTGAATGATAGATAGTTCTGCCTTGGCCAAGTCTTCAGGAGTCAGATTTTCTTTCTTTAGAGTGGTCTTGAATCTTTCCATCTGCTTTTCCAGTTCTTTCTTTTGATTTTCTGGATCATTTTTATTTAGGTCTACAGCAGCAAACTCTTTTCTCTTCTGTTGCAGCAACATGAGGATGATTTTCAGCTTTAAAAACCAGGCAACAGAGATTTTAAGCTTTGTCCAAGATGGAAAAATAATAAATCAGATAGTTTGTAGCATTTTCTGATTCCTTCACAACACTTTCTGTTAGGTCCTTTTTGACCTCTGGGTCATCTGCAGGAATTGCAAGGTGATCCACATCCAGTTTAAGCCATTCCTCCTCTGATCTGTGGAGAAATTCAGGTCCATTTATCAATCTCCTGCATTTGAGGAGCTCCTCAGATCTCATTTCTCTAAATGCATCATCTGCAGGATTCTCCTTGGAGGAAACATATCTCCTATATCAACATCTGTTGCTTCTCAGATAACAGAGGTTCGGTTTGCAACAAAGGTGTGAAATCTTCTTGTTTCACTGGAAATATATTTTAGTACTGTTGTACTATCAGTCCAGAAAACAGGTTTTTCCAATTGTATTTGCAGCTCTTTCTGCAGCAGTTTATTTACTTGGACTGCAAGAACAGCAGCTGTCAGTTCCAACCTGGGGATTGTCATTTGCTTCATAGGGGCAACTCTTGCTTTTCCTAAAATGAAAGCAACATGTGAGATGTTATTCTTTTCCAGTTTTAAATATGACACTGTTCCATAGCCATCTTGACTTGCGTCAGAGAAATGATGAAGTTATCTGGTTTTCTGATGCAGTTTGGTTTGATACAACGATCCACTTTAAAACTGGATATCAACTGGAGATCCTCCAGCCAATCAAGCCACTTCCTAGAGAGAGAATAGGGAATAACTTCATCCCACTTCAAATTTTGTCGACAAAGTTCTTGTAGCAACAGTTTAACTGGCATACTGAAGGGAGGGAGCCACGATTCCCAAGAGATCATACAGTAAGCTAATCACAGACAAAATGCCCCTTCTGGTGTGTGGACGGTCCTGCACAGAGGTTCTGAACTTGAATTCGTCTGTTTCAATGCTCCACTGTAAACCCAGTACTCTCTCAACTGGAAGCTGATCTGTGTCCAAATCCAGATTCTTAATTATTTTTTTTGGTGTCCTTTCCTCTGGGATTGACATGAGCACTATGCAACTATTGCTGACCCATTTTGAAAGCATGAATCCTCCTTTAGAGCAGAGGTCTGTCAGCCTCTTCACCAGGTGCACTGCATTTTCTTCTGTGGGAACAGATTTTAAACAGTCATCCACATAAAAGTTATTTTTGATTGTGTTAACCACTTCAGCTGGAAACTGTTATCATCAGCAGTTCTTTGCAGAGCATAATTTGCACAGCTGGGTGACACTGTGACACTGCTCCAAATAAATGAACCAACGTCCTGAACTCCTGTGCAGGTTTTGAAGTGTCACCATGATGTCACCACAGAAACGGAGAAAGTTGACATGTTTTTCAGAGACATACACTTGGTGAAACATGGCATCAATGTCAGCCATTAGTGCAACAGGCTCTTTTCTAAATCTGATGAGGACTCCAACCAGAGAGTTTTGTGAGGTCAGGTCCTTGTAGAAGTTGACTGTTCAGTGATGCTCCTTTATAAGTTGATCCACAATCAAATACAACTCTTAACTTGCCTTTTGTGGGATGATGCACTCCATGATGAGGAATGTACCACAGTTTTCCATCACCTTTCTGAAGCTCATCTGCTGGT